AGAAGTGAAACGTCCGTAATTCGCGGGAAACTCCGGAGAAGATGGCGAGAGAGATCGAGAGATGACCGCACGGCGCAGGTACCATCCAATACTAGACCCCATTACCAAATATTACCTCCCTGCTTTGTTGCCCTCCGACATCCGCATATAGCCGTCACCTGCCCATCCACAGTCACGGAGGGGTTAATAGTCAACTTGAAGTGAACCTGTCATGAAGAATCATGCAGGCTGTCATTGCTGATCTGTGCTTCTACTAATGCTTGTTGCCTGGCTGTCATGCGGATCTGTGGCTTTGATACTTTTAGTCAGTGCCTGAAGCAATTATGCAGATCAGGGTTTCAGAATGTACTAGTTGCATGCTCTGGGCCACTTACTTAGAGTGTCAAAGCCAGAGGCTCAGCATGACTGCCAGGCAAATAGTATTAGCATATGGAATTCTGTCAGTCTGGACCCTTTCTTTTATTTTAGTCTAACGTCAGCCAGACTCTTACCCTACTAAATCAGGGGTTTAAATAAGGCAGGGCTCCACCCATGGACATGTGAGGGTTAAGTCTGTCACCCAGGGGTTAATGGTGAGGCTGGGCTCTAACCTCTGGCCACCCAGGGGTTAATGTCAAGGCTGGGATCTGCCTCTGGCCACCCAGGGGTTAATGGCGAGGCTGGGCTCTGGCCACCCAGGGGTTAATGGCGAGGCTGGGCTCTGGCCACCCAGGGGTTAATGGCGAGGCTGGGCTCTGGCCACCCAGGATTAATGGTGAGTGTGGTCTCTACCCTCTGGCCACCCAGGGGTTAATGTCAAGGCTGGGATCTGCCTCTGGCCACCCAGGGGTTAATGGCGAGGCGGGGCTCTGGCCACCCAGGGGTTAATGGCGAGGCGGGGCTCTGGCCACCCAGGGGTTAATGGCGAGGCTGGGCTCTGGCCACCCAGGATTAATGGTGAGGCTGGGCTCTGGCCACCCAGGATTAATGGTGAGGCTGGGCTCTGGCCACCCAGGGGTTAATGGCGAGGCTATTTTCTGATTACTAAAGGGTTAATGTAGGGACTGGGCTATTCTTCTGGTCACTAGGGGTTAATTGGGTCATTGCTGTAGGGCAATGGAGGGATGGGGCATATGCTGTAGGTTGGGGGTGAATACGTGTGATAATATAGGGTGTGCAGTCACCCCTGTGTACTATTGTGGGGTACGCCCTATGCTTGATTGTTATTTTCAAGAAAATGAAGTTCAATCATAGTGGCATCATAGGGCAGTTGCACCCCAATTTATAAAAACTGGAGCAGACAAAATCTGGAGCAGTTGCCCATGGCAACCAGTCTGCTTCTCTCTTCAGTTTGTTCAGTTAAGATTTGAAAATGAAAGAGAGAAGCTGATTGGTTGCCATGCACAGCTGTTCCAGATTTTGTCTGCTCCAGTTTTGATAAATCCCCCCCCACCCCAGTGTTTGCAGAATATGTGGGGGACCCTACTGACTCCTGTGTGCATGTGCCTGGTCATTCTGAGGCACTTACCTGATTGTACAATCTCCTTTAGATTTCCTACCATCTATCTATACATTGGATTGTCTGTCTGGCTACATGACTGTTGGTATACATAACGGGGATTGTACAGTTAGATTGTAAAGTGTGTGTGATCAGCTCTGGACCTTCATTTCTCACATCTGCTAAACTTCTCGCTTGTACATCATGTGGGTGTGCTGGCCCTTTAACTCCCTGTGTGTCTACATGGTAGTGGATGACGCTCCCTCATCAGATGACCCGTTCGGGGTGTTGGGCCGACTTTGACAGTTTGAAGTTCTCTCCTGTCAAATGATGCACAGTGTTTTTTTCTTTCTTCCTTTTGTGCATTTTGAAGCGGCCAATCGTCTTCAAGCCGGCTTATGTGTATTTTTGGCTGACCTGCCGGATGCTTCCTGTAACGGATGAGGGAAGGCGCCGGGGGCGCTTGCTCGAGGTGGGGAATATCAGCCTGCGGTCCTGCAATGCAGTGACTGAGATCAAGATGTCAGTGCAGCACTGACAGATGGCTGAACACTGGCTGCTTTTTGTGAAGAGAAGTCGGAAACAAAACTCCTTTTCCCTCCATGGATTTCTCTCATCCTCACAGTGATGTCTCTCCCAAGCTGCCCTCCCATCAGTTAACTTGTCTCCATGATGACATGCTGTGTTCCTCATACCTTGGAGCTGTCACTTGTCCTGGATCTTTCACAGATGGGAGTTTGGTTATTTGCGGCAGCCGTTGTGGTTAGTGAGTAATGGTGACTCGCCAATATTATGGTTGTGCATGGAGAGCTTATTGGAATCATCTGCATGTAGAGTTCCTCTTTAGGTCAC